TGCATTTTTATTTGGACTGACCTGGAAATAGGAGAGACTTTCAGTTCTCTTTCCTAAAAGCCCTGCCTCCACTAATGAAAGTTTTAAGATGTTTCCCAGCATATGCACAGCCTCTTAGAGCCAATGATTAAGATGAATCTTAGAGCATAGATTATCATCACAAGAATCCAAAGAGGATGAATTTTAAACTTCAGTTAAACAGTGGTTCTCATACTTTGGCAACTATCCGAATAACTTGAAGAATTTGTTTAAACAGATTCTTGGTCTCCATCTCCAGATTCAGTAGGTTTGGGGTGAAACACCACTTTTTATTTCTAATAAGGACCCACATGGTGGTAATGATGGTGGCCTGGGCCCAGGATTGAGAGCCACTGAGTGGATGGATGTGGTTGAGGTAATGTGTAATGGGACTCCATAGCAGGAACGTGAGCGGAAATCTGTTCACTAAGGTGAATTGCTTGATAACTGTATGTGAAAATTGGGCTTCTTATTATCAGACTGTTTTAACCCTGCACTGGACTTTTCTTACTTTATAAATTTTTCTTATTTTATTGGTAGAGAAAATGCTCTCGTGAAGTTTTTTTTTTTTAAGCTTTTACAAGCCTGATAAAATCTATAGACACTATTCCCAGAAAAGCATATACACATACACAGAAGCACTGCTTATAATTTTGAGAAGTTCTTGGACATCTCCCCACCAGCCCACCCATGGACTCATACCAGGCAACAAAATGCCTTGAGGCAAAGTCTTGGGTTCCCTTGAATGTGACGAACATTCTCTTCCTATATTTAACTTTTACAAATTTGTTTGTAAAATAAGAATAATAATAATAGTTATTAGCTCAAAGGTTGTAAAGATTTACTGGCCTAAGGCATACATAATTGTCCTTAGCAGGTCTGGCACAGAAAACATACTTAAACATTTAATGTTATTAAAATTTTTACCTTTTCTATGGCAGAATAAAGGATGTAGCTAACCTGAAGTGAGAGGATGGTAGGAAGGAAAAGGTCAAGTAGGAAGGCTGGGAACATAGTGTCCTAGGTTCAGCAGTGTCATCACTAGAAGGTCTGTCACAGGCCTGTGAATGATGCAGATCTCAATGTCTGCCTGATTAGGCAGCAGTTATCAAGGACAGCCAGGATAGCAGCTGCCAAAGGAGGCGCTCCTCCCTAGCCACAGGGTCCTTCCTGGGATGGTAAAGAATGGTACAGTATGCAGGAGGTCCTCCCTGTGGTGACTTTCTGGCCACAGCCACTAGTGGAGCCTCTTTCTTTCCATGTGGACTCCTCAAATTTTGTTCCCTGCCACCAATCTTCTCCAAGATGATGCTTCTCCTCCAAGACTTCCCTCTTCATAATCAAGATCTTAATTTGAAACCAAAATACTAAATACTACCCTTTTCTCTCTGTAATCCAGCTACGACAGTGCTCATTCTTTCAGAAGTGGATTCCTCTGCCTACTAAGCAAAGAGTAATATTCCTGAGTCTCACTCTATTTCCAGTTGTATATTTTTGCTAAAATCTGGTCTGAGCCTGACATGCCATGCTGTTAGCTGAGAGTCAGTGGGCAATGGAGCGTGGCTCTGTGGCCTGAGAGTCACAATTTATCCACTCTGAACTATTATACTTTCCAAATGCCAATGCCTTGTCCTGCTCTCATATTGATGCTTCCTGATGGAAAGATGGAAATGAAGAGTGCTAATAGGTACATTTCCTGGCAAGAAGATGAAGAATCTTGAGAAAGAATCATCAATGATTAATGTTTGTATAACAGTAAAATAAGTAGGTGCATTGATAGTCATTTGGCAGTTATTTATTTAGCACCTACTATGTACGCCACAAAATAGAAAATGCAAAGAAATGTAACACGAGCTCTTGTTTTGTATGGGCTCATAATACAGCAAGAGAGATAGATACATGCAAAATAAACAAAACACAAAATGAACCATACCAAGGGTTATGGAGTTAAGACAGTGTCTCAGGCCAGAGGAAAGGAAAAAATTAACTCTGATATAGGTATCCATAAGTTTCTTGGGCAAGGGAGATTTAAGCTTGATCTTAAAGGAGAAATGAGATTGCCCTTACTGAATACGATAAAGAAGGACATTCTCAGCTGTGGAGTAATTTGAAGAAAGGCCAAAAATTGGGAATGTGGGAATGTGCTTGGTATATTTGGGTCAGTATGAATTAACCAGTGTGACTATAATATGGACTGGGTGTAGGAATGTAGCACTTGAGGCTAGTAAGACAAGTTGAAAGAGTATCGTGTGAAGGAAACTGAAAGAGTGCTTTGTCATTAGTTTCGATGCATCAGGGAAGTAATGAAGATCTTTGAGTAGGAAGATAACAAAAGCAAATCTCTTAACAAAAAAAAAAGCCCCAGTGTCTTTGTGAAAACTAGACCATAGGTCAGGAAGGAAGCAAGACCTGGTGAAGCCAGAGAGGTGAAGTGGCTGGGAGAGAACAGAGAAGGAGGCATTTGAGAGACTAAATTTCACTACATGGTTCATGACCCCATGTAGTGAAGATAGAAGAGGGGAGTGGAGGGGGCCCTCTTTGGCTCACCCAGTCCCAGCTGGGATTACGTCATAAAGCAAACTGTGGGGTCAGGGGAAGAAATTGATCAGAGTTCAGAAGCCAGGTGGTGAGGAATACTCTCAGACATTCCAAAAGAACTTTTTCACCCTGGAAAGCTCACAAGGCAGCAAGCAGCCATCTACTTTGCATAGAACACCAAAATCACTGGCTCCCAGAACTGGAGTCTGACAGCTTTTAAAACCACTTTCAGGTGCTTTTCCAAGAGATTCTGATCTGAGAAGCTACGCTGGGTCAAGATAGGGGCCCGGCATCTGTATTTGTAAAGCTGCCAGGTGATTCTGATGCATAGCTGGATTTGGAATCTACTGTGGGACATTACCATTATGGTAAGGAATGTACAGAAAATGTAGGGTTGACACTCACTTTGGCCAGTGAACACTGCTGGCTTGGAAACCTTAGGTTTTGGTCTCTAATAGTGCCTCAAGCAGTGATCTTGCAATGTCTTAGCTTATACTCCATTCCTATCCCTGGTCCTCAGCAAATACATCAGGAGATGGGAGAGGTTGAATGCTTGATGATGTCAGCTAAACTTCTCAGAAGAATAACGTGCATATGGTCATCATTTTCAATCTTTTGCTCAGTAGAAAAAGAAAGAGAACTTGGTTGTGTCACAGGGACACCATGAGGGCATATTTTTACAGGATGCTTTGCAACTAGAAAACAAGCTATGTCATAATACTATCTATTTTCTGCTAGGCTTGTACAACATTCATAGCATATTTCCCCTCTTATCACTCTTATTTCTCAGAAAATGACACTACCCAGGTGAGGTAGGTGTTAAAAACTTCCCTCTATACATAGGCTCTGCGGGATTCAGTGACTCATCCAAATTGAGACAACTTGAGCTGGTGCTGAATTTGCCGTCCTCCAGAGCTCCGGTTCTGCTTCTATGCCATAATAGAGAAGGGCAACATAAAGGCATTTTTCTCTCCTTGTAAAAGAGAAAAAATGGGGGAGGGGGAATTATTTAAACACACCTCACTCTTACTGCAATCACTGCATTGTTTTTCCTGTAGAAACACCCTGTTGGTTTTTAAATCCCTTTAAACCTCCCGGCACCTGTATGGCCTAGATCCAAGAATTATTACTGAATCCCTTGCTTTTTATATTCAGCCTCATAGGAGTTTTTGTGATGGTAACTAGCTCCTGGTTCAGTTGAGAATTTCAGAGCCTCCAGGAGTTTTCTTCTTCCATAGAAGCTAGAAACCTGCAGTGCTCAGACCTGAATTTATTTCCTTCCTCCCTCTCTTTCTGTTTCTTTCTTTCTTTCACAGGGTATGCTTCTCTCGCTTAGTTTTGCCATATAAAATAATGTCATGGCACAACCTGTATTGTTCTCTGTGATGATGCTTCTGAAATATTCACCAAAAGAGGGGGGGGGGAGAAGGATAAGATGGGAGTCAGAGTCAGCAGCTGATGATATGTGCCATGACTTCTCTTCATGGCAAGAACTGAGGCTGCAAACATAATGAGAACTTCCCAACAAATTCATTATAACAAAGCACAATGTGAGCTCACTGGGCACAAAAATAGGCTGAAGGAAAGTGACTCCCACATAAGACCTAATTAAATACTTTGATGTCAGAGAGCAGAGCAGGGAGGGGTGGAAAATCAAATCAGACCAACTTGAAGAGCCTAAATTCAAATGGAAAAAGGAAATATTTCTCTCTCTCCCTCCCTGCACCCCCTCCCCACAGCTCTCCTTTTCTTCTTTTGCCATGAAGAAGAATAAGATTCAGGAACAATGGGTTATAAATTCTTCAGCCAATTAGTCCAGTGCCTTACTACTGTTTATAATGCACAGAATGTCACAGGCTGTTTTGCAGCCGCCCCAAGTTGGTTTGTTAATAACAGGAAGCTAGCACTTCTCAGTACAGTGGATCAGCTACACGTGAAAATAAATGCAAAAAACCTGGAGGGGAATAGCAGCAGACTGAGAGTAGCCTTGATTTAATTTAACATTTGGGGGTCCACACACAAATGAGCATTTTAGTAGGCTTCATGGTGGAAGTTGCTGTCATTTGTAAAATATTCTGGCCAATTAGCTAATAGTGTGCTTGGATTTCTCCTGTTTTGATACAGTAATACTAAGTACATTGTGAAGCCCAATTATACAAATCATCCCCATATGCCATACCAGTCTTTCTTTATGAACTGTGTTTATAAATCCTGTGTGAGGAAATGTGTACTTCAGCAATTTAGACCATGTGTAAAAACATAGCCAATGGGATTGTCAAGAAAACAAGTTCCAGCCTAGGAAATCCTAATGCGTTCCGCTGGAGTAACAGGAGGGTGCCAGGGAGTGCAGTGCTCTGCTTAAATACATATTGCATTATAGTGTTTAACCAATGTAGGGGCTTCCACTTCCCTTTCTGTTATTTTTTTTTCTTTTTTTCTTTCAGGATCCAACCTTGGAATTTTTGAGAAAATTTGGGATTGGTCTTCTTTCTGGGACAATAGCCTCAGTCATTAACATCCCTTTTGATGTTGCCAAAAGTAGGATTCAAGGACCTCAGCCAGTTCCTGGAGAGATCAAGTACAGAACCTGTTTTAAAACAATGGCAACAGTCTATCAGGAAGAAGGGTAACACATTCTTACTTTAATAAGTGTGCAAGGTCCAAGTATTGTTAAAACCATATTGTACTTCTATTTTGGTGGGAGTCAGTTAGACTCCTAGATTGGGTGTGTGTTGAAGGAGTTCTGTGGACTATATGACAAACTTTGCAAATCCACACAATAACAAGATGCTGGCAAAAATGTTCTTATACCATCCAGTTTGTGCCATGAAATAAACTTCTTGTCAGTTAGCATAATATGCTATTGTGTGTTACATGTCTTATTAGTATATGGGTAGAAGAATTATTGTCTTCTGACTAAATCTAATAAAAATGTCACCTAATTATATTCTCCTGGGAGAAGTAAATATGAGAATTCTGTAAAATTAGATTTTTTTGTATTTTAAATGTGCCTTTTCTGATTTTTTAAAAATTTTACTATCTCTTCACCCTTCCTCACCAATTACTGATTCTCAAGTAAACAAGTGATACTTTATTATTTTGTTCTAAACTGCATCATATTTCCTAATGTGAAGACTGAGTTTGTGGTCTTTTAAATTCGATTACAAAAGTCATCTTGGCCATATACACAGCTGCCTTGAAAGCAAGACCTGTCTTGAAAGCAAAAACCATTTTGCTGATGAAAGTCATGTTTCTGATTGGACAAGACCAGCATAGCCTGGGTAATAAAGAATTGATTAACTCTTTCCCCTCATCCAAATTGCAGTAAGGAATGCTAAGCCAGATACTGTCAGGTTTGGGGTGGTTCAATTTCAAATAGTTTCTTTTTAAATGCTGGGCCAGCATCTCAATAAAGCTGACGTCTAACTCCATTTATTTTTGGAATGAGAATTTTGCTTTTTCCTCTCTGGTTCTAGGATTTTAGCCTTGTACAAAGGACTGCTTCCCAAAATTATGAGACTTGGACCAGGTAATGATGCTTTTATTATTTATATTCTCCCTTCCTTATTGTTCTAGTGTTTCTTCTCTTGTTATTTGTGTCTATCAGCAACATAGTAAAAATTTACCACACTGTGAGAGGGGAAACTGTGAGGATATAAAGTTGTCTATGAGTAGTCAGGAGACTAAAGGCATCTATCAGAAATGTTCTACCTTTGTTTAGAAAGTACTATTTATGGGCCTATTGGAAGCTGATGGGAAACAAAGCCCAACTTAAGTCAATGGGAAAGGATCCACAGTCTGTTGAGTTCAAGTGAGTGCTAACATGCACCTTGGCTTCTGGTTAAAGTGGTCACTGGGTGAGTGACCAGTCAGATAAAACTCTTCCTGTGCTCCCAGCTCAGTCTTGCTCCTGCCTCAACTTGATTTCAAAAGGAGAAAAGGATGAGGAATCACCTCCATGAACAGCAAAAGTCACTTATATTCAGGGTCACCTCTGGGGAGTGGTGACACTCCTGCTGGCCTCTGTCAGCTTGACAGTGACAACTGCTGGCTCAAGCCTTACCTGAGTATGCCAGCCCACAAAAAGCTGACTGCCATCCCCACAGGGAAAGTCAGCTGTCTCTATGTAAATAGATAAGAAAATCACTGTGGCAGACTCAACCGCCTGAACAAATGGTCTTGGATTATAAGCAATCTTGTGAATAAGTACAGAAGTATGCTCTAGACCAAAAGTATGTTCTTTTTTTTTTTAATTCTAACCAGGCATGTGCCCCTACTTAGACTTCCTGGTAATCTCTCCTCTCTCTTTTTGCCATTCCTCATTTTAATACTACCATCCTCCTCCCATCCTGCACTCAAACACAAGCACATTTACCTTTTGATCTTAACCCAATAAACTAGCAATTCTTCCATCCTAAGATAAAGAACATCCATCTGTAAATTGAAGTTAAGAAAGCAGTACATAACTTTCATGTATTCTATTTATCCCAACTTTTGTAGATATTAAGAACCGATTCTGTTTTGCATTTGAGATTGGGACCTGCCTTCTGTTAATCATGTGTTAAAAGAAACTCACTAATGAAAAATGTTGGGAATTTTGTGAATTTTTGCAAGTAGTATAGGTAGTGTTTTTCCTTTACCACACAGTAAAAACCTGCTGGTAGATCTAATATTAGAGAAAAATTGCAGGACCAGCCCTGAATCAGCTGTCTCAGAAAAGGATGGACCTAAAAAGGGTGGTAAACCAGGGAGAGTTTAGCTAAAATGGTAATTGACTAGAACCTTAATCCCAAACTGTTAAATAATCTGCCCCCAAGTTTTGTTAGAGGCTTGCAAATGTTTGATTGGGCTTTAAATGCTTTGCATGAGGGGTTCTGAGTTGCTGTGGCGTTAAACCCCATGAAAAGGGTTGCCATGAATTTACTGTCCAGTTTAAACAAAATTGTAAATAACTTCAGGGACCTAGCCTCTACTTCATTTCAAACGTGCAAATTCCTTCTTCAAAGAGAAGTAAGGTAAGACTTTCAAGTTAAGACCAACCAAGATTTAAAAAAAAAAAAAAAGGAGACAGCAGAAAAGAATGATGAACCTGAAATTTTCAGCCTTCAGTCAGCAGAAGCATCGCATCTTGTTTCCAATAGCCTTAACAGCTCTATGTGCCTAATAATCAGGTATTTCCCAAAAAAGAATCTTGAAGTTTGTGGTTTAAATTCCAAATCTTCTCATGAAGCTGAAAACTAACCCAATTCTGTATGTTCTTACCTTACATTGTGAACAGTTGATAAGAGTAAACACAGTAATCACATATGCATTTGTGGTTCATTTTCTTTTGTTTGCTGAGTTCCCAGAGGGTGACAGCAGCTGTAAGGGGCCTAATAGAGTATCTTCATGGGTTAAAAATGAAAATTACAGACAGATAATCATCTTTGGTATATGGTTTCACAAACATGTGCAGCATGTAGATAAAAAAAGAAGCATATGGAAGTGTACACAAATAAGATCAAAATCGAGTTTCATTTCTTTCTGTCAGGAGTCAATCTTCTCTTGAGATAGCTGAGTCTTCTCAAAGTTGTGCTCAGTATACTTGTCCATATTTTGATCTTGTAATATTTTTCCTACCATTAGACACGAAAGTATTGTCCTAAAGTAGAGGATACATACTATTTCTGCATCAGATAGAACACAAAATGATTCACATGCAATTGCTTCTCCCAGTATTGAACTTGCTTTCCTGAATCATATTCCTGTTGCTTTGTTACACAGAAAACCTCTCCTCTTTTCATACAACTCTTTTCTCCCAAGACAAATCGTGGTCTCATGCCACTCAACTCACCTACCAAATTTTCAAGTTCAAATCTATATACATCTTAGGTAGATAAATGAAATGATGGTTAGCTTCCAACCTCCTTTTTTTTTCACAACTTTTACAAGTACAGATTTTAAAAAGCATTCAGAAGATATTTTTTCACATTACAATCCACTTTGAAAGCCATCCGAAATAAATAGACTCATCTGTCAAACACCATCTTAGAGATTTCCTAAGACAATGCCGATTATGGACTGAAAAAGATAAATTCCTGTGCCTACGTATGAAGAAGCTAAAGGTTTCTGTTCACAGGAAAGCCGCATGCCCTTACATGACTAAATATGTCTATATTTATTTACTTTTAAAAATTAAAAGTGCCTGAAAAAAGAATCTGATGAGAAATGATGAAAGTTGCAGAAACTCATGAGGAAAAAATGTATTTGGATACTCAAGATGGTCTTGATTTTACCCTGAGAATTTTCCACAATAGTTTTGTATCTATGTATTGGAGCTCCAGAACTGGTAGTTCCAAACAGCCCCTGCCTGATGGGCTGCCTGGGACTTCATGGATTCCGAAACCCCAGGGGAACAGTGCTGTTTCACAGAATTTGTGACAAACAAACACAGTTCTTTTTTTTCTAGGTGGTGCAGTGATGCTGCTGGTTTATGAATACACCTATTCATGGCTGCAAGAGAACTGGTGACTGCCTCCCAAGCATTTTCCCCTTGAGATAATGGGTATTTGCTCTGCAACCCCATGAAGAGGAAAGACTACGGATCAGCTAAACTAGGCATACGATTATGAAGGGGAAAACAGCTTGTTCAAGAACAAAGCCTATTTTGAGACGTTAGAAATTATCTTTAGGCAACTTGAAATGATAGTTTGGGTCATATACATAAAGCTGTGAAAAAAATAGTATGAAACAATGAGATATATAAGTTGACTATTAAAATTGCATAGGAATCAGTTATGTTTTATAAAAGCAAAATGAGTTTCATCACTTATGTTCCTCTTATACTACTTCATAATGAAAATTCATTATAATGATAATTGTTTTTTCCTAAGAGGCCTAGAAATGCTTAAGTTCTTGAAAGTAAATTCTTCTGTGGCTATTTTGAGAAAAACTGGGTGAAAAAAAATAGTTAAAGTTTTTATAAGAAGTTAACTTTTTCCACTAGTAATATTTAAAGAACAGAAGGAGAATATTTTCAAAGTGCATTAAAATGGCTTTTTAAGAATGTTTAATTTCATGAATGTTATTAAAATGTAAATCTGTTCTCTAGTTCTAGTTTCCTAAATCTACTTTATATTTTACATGATTGATTAAGTAGATATATTTTAAGTCATGCTATCTGATGTATTTTACTACTAATGGAATACATGAAATTAAACTACTTTGAAGACAAGTTTTGTCGCTGAAATATTAATGTTAGTCACAAATTGGAAGCACTCCTTGGGCCAATTTGTGCTCTCTGTAACTGCATCCAAATATCCTCGTACAGAACTCCTACCTATGTCATTCTTAAGAACAATGTAAAGCAGGATGTAGGGGCATACACCTGTAATCCCAGTGACTTGGGAAGTTGAGCAGGAGGATCCCAACTTTGAGGCCTGCCTCAACAACCTTGTCTCAAGATAAAAAGCAAAAAGAACTGGGGATGTAGCTCAGTGGTAGAGCAACCCTGGCTTCAATCTGAAGTACTGGGTGGAGGGGAAAAAAGAATGTAGAGGTCGAGTGTGTGGCTCAGTGATAAAGCACTTGCCTAGCATGCACCCATGTACCAGATCCTGGGTTCTATCCCTAGCACAGGAAAAAAAAAAGTGTAGAGTAAAACTACATTTCTAGGTAGGTAGTTTTAAGTGACAGCTTCAGGTGTAAAGTTTATTGTCTATAATACTAAAATATGTATGAAAGAAAAAATATTTCAAAATAGAAGTACATTCTTAGCATTTCCAAGCATTCTTGTACTAACATGCACTCTAAAAAATAGCTCTTTGGTCTTGATATAACCAAAGTTGATTTTATATCTTCATCCTGAAATGATGCTACTTCAGTAATGAGTCAACAAAAATATCTGCATGTTCTAGATGAAACCCATTATGAACTACTACTATGGGATATTTCTACTAAGTCACTCTTCTACCAAAGCGTTCTGAAAATAAAAAGTAAAGATAGCATAGTAATTATTAGTTTTTATTAATTTAGAGCATTTGAAGTATAAAAATAAAAGGCTTTTTAACATACTGTATATACACACACAGCCTTCTGTTGTACATCCTTTCCAAGGTGATTTTTTAAATTTATATTTCAGCCCAATATTCAATAAGTGGATCATTAAAAACAGAAAACCAAGAGAAACAAGAATGTGTCTATGTTGCACAACTGCATTCTATCCTTGCAGGTAATACTCTTGCATACTGTGAGAGAGAACTATATGCACAGAGGCCATGAAATTAAATGTTTAACCCTGCCATGTGGACAAAATGGAAAAGGATTTCCAAAGAGTGCATTTGCCAATTTAATATCAACCCTTCACCCTCTAAGAAACAGAGGAAATGTTAACATTAAATAATAAGAATAGTGTTTAAAAATTAAATAGTCCTAATCCCATATCCCATTCCATTTTCCTTCTCAAGAGTTTTTAAAGTGGCTTCAAATAATAATTTACTTTGAATAGCAAATTGTATTTGGACTTTCTGTTGTCTTTTTTAAATTATTCCACTGGAATTTATGGTTGCTAAAAACAAAAACAAAAAGATGAAGGAAGAGAAATGATATCACTAATATTAGATTTTTAAAAATAAAGGATCCAGAAAACCATAAATAACAATAACAAGAGATTAATTTAGATAAAGAAAATAACATTTAGTTTTGTTTCCATACAACATTTGATATTTTTTTTAAAGATGCTTAGTAGCCACCTAAAAACATTTGATAGAAAATAATTCTGTACTTTTTTTGACAGTTTTTCTGGACATCAGGTGAGTCCTTGTATGGTCTGGTTTTAAAGTCTCCACCAAAATATTGGATAGGATCATTGTTCCATTTGGTTTATAGTCTATTTTCTCACCAGACTAGGAACTCCAGATGTCAATTGGAGTTTTACAAGATCAAAGGAAGACTATGGCCCTGAGAGTTCATCTGCTCTTTCTGCTTATTCTTCTCAGAAGTTGTAATCCTCTGTTTGTAGCACTAGACTTCAGTTGCTTTAGAAATAAATGCAGTTCAAAGCTCTCTATAAGTTATCTGCTGCTTGCAAAAAAGCAGTTCCTAGAACATTACTTGTATGTCAGAAATCTGCTTAGTGTTTACAACCTAGTGATTTGAAAAACTAACTGATCTAGCCATCTAAGTATTAAAGGAAGCCATGAAACCTATGAGGCAGAACTGGATTGCCATGTCGCTGTGCACAGCACAGATATGAAGAAGTTGAAATCACTCAATGAATGCATCTTTAACCTCCATATCCAATGAGGTGCCCTTTTAGTTATTGCACAGAATTAATACCAAAAAAAGCCCACAATATATTAATTTTCCAATAAATGAATTGTACCAATGTTCTAAAAATGTATTTTAAAGCCTATATTGCCAAGCAGGAAGAATTTCCTAAACAGAAGGTATAAGAACTGTAGAATTTTACCAAAGAAAAATCAATTGTTTCAAAATACAACACATAATCACATGCTCACACACACATATATCCCACAGCTCTATTATTAACATTAAAGTGAAAAAGAAATTGGTCTAGTAAGATTTATCAGTTAATCTGCATCCTGTAATTCCAGAAATGAATAAAGGGAATTCATTAAAATTAAATAGCATTTGTATTTCTAATACCACCACCAATTTACGTACATGTGAAACATGTTCTGTACAACAATGTAAACTTCACAGCAAGCCATTGTTACATTCATTAGAGCAGAATTTTCCATTTTCTTTAAGTTACAACATAATTTTGGGCTGTGATTGCTGAACACACAGGTAAGCCAACAATAACAGTACAATTTAGTTTCACAGTGGTTTTCTTAACATAAAGTTCATTTTAAGTGTCTTTGTAAAACATTTCACATTAAACTTGCTTCTAAGTGACTTCCTTTAGAGCCTTTCTCATTCAGATATTTTCCACCCCCTTATCTTTATATGCTTGGCATGTGTGTTGTTTGACTAGAATATAAAATGGGAGACTAGCTTGTTTTATCTGTTTTTTGAGTCCTTTGCTGTAGAAAGAAAGTGTCCTTCATGATGCTGATGCCTTCACTGCCCACACAAAATTTGGGGGCAAGTTGAGGTCCAGGAGCCCAAGAAGCCCACCACCAAACAAAGACAGAGATGTTGCCAGAAAGTCACCTTTGCAAAAAAGAAAGAAAAACAAAATAGAGAGGAGGTGGGGTTGGGGAGAGGGGGATATCCCATGGCATGAAGACACAAATGCACCACCCAGAGTCCATATTTACAAACTAATAGAAAATATAAACATTACTGTATTTGGAACCAAGACAAAACACCAGGAGCTAAATTCAGAAATTGCTTGTGTTCTACATATTTATCAACAAAATAGGTTATCTCTTAAAAATAAACAAAGGATCACTCAAACAAGTCAATTATTGATTGGTTTCCTAATGGTAAATTAAGGCTTACTTGGTCACCTTATTTGATTAGAGGGTGTAGCATAACTTTTTTTTCTACATGTGTTTTTCTTTATTGATTTTGCAAAATCTCAACAATTGCACATTTCAAAAGTTCAGGTTGATTTAGAATAAATATACATGTGTGGTTTTACCAAAGACTAGTTTAAAAGTTCCTTAAGCCCTTTGAGGGGTGTAGATTTCTTCACTACGTTAAAACAGTGTGTGGGCAACACAAAAGTCTCATTCAATCCTTAACGTTGCTTTTGTTTTAAAATCCTAAGTCGTGTCAGGTTTTCTGCAAGAAAGAGGTTATGGCAAGAAATATTTAAGTGTCATCAGCACAAAGGATGTGAGTCTGTAAAGCCAGCTCTCCAGGCAAGAAGGGTAGAAGGCAGGAGGGGTGAGATGTGAAACCTGGGAAAGTGGGGAGGATGTGCTGAGAAGGGAAGACCCGAGAGCAGCTGCTGGAGACGGAATTTCTCATCAGAGTGCAGAAGCGGTGACAGAATGACTACCTTCTCTGGCTGCCTGCATTCCCTTGAAGGCCAGCGATGCCGGAATGTCACAGTTGTGGGGGGACAGTGGGGTGCCACCCGCATGTTGCCACCCATGTCCAGCAACGTAACCAGAAGGAGCAGCGCTGTAGGTCATGTAAGGTGACACTTGGGCTGGGGTGGGGTAAGGAGCCATGCTGGATGCTGACACAAAACTGCTCACAGCTGGGAGACCGTTTGGTGCCTAAGAGAAAAAGAGATGAAAAATAATCACATTTTTTGTAATCCACAGGTTCTTAGAAAGAAGCAAAATATAAATTCTGAGCAAGCTAACAATATTATTACTATACTTTCTGAAGCATTTTTTTTAGATCTGATCTGAATTACATTCTAAAGGCACTCAAAGTTTTGCTACTTAAACAAATGAGGCTGAAAAGCAAGATATTATTCTTTCCACAAAAGTGTTAAGGAAGCTACAACCAGAAAGTTCACACTATTTGCTTTTGCAACTTGGAAATGTAGGAAGGAGAAGCAGGGCAAAGAAAGAATTAATGGTGATTAAATACTCTCAGAAATCTGTTCAGCTGTCCACACTGCCTTTGTCAACTATCCCAATGCCTTGGTTTTGTTTGGCTCTTTTGTTGAGGCATTTGTGACTGCCCTGGTTGGTATAGCTTTCATTTCCAGTAAAAAAAGGGCACAGAGTATGGGCTGTCACATTAGAAATACAAAATTAGCAAGACTTTATTTCCTTTCTGATAAAATTTTGGAAGAAAATAAATAAAAACATGGCCCATATTTTAAGACATCAAGTTGAAAATGCTGGTTGGACAAAAGACACGTAAAATCATGTTTTGTCTTGCAAGTGTTTTGTTTGTTTGTTTGTTTAATGAACACTGGGATTTTTTTCCAAAATTTTATCAGAAAGGAAATTGTCTAGCCAAATACAAATTAACTGCATATGCATGGCTTTAAAATTGGAAATTTTGCTTGAAAATGTTTTGTGCTCAATAGTGTGAGTATTTAAAACCCATATGAACAAATCTCTTGAAATTAACTTAGATCTTTGTTTGAAAAAAAAAAATCTTTGTTTGCAAACAAAACGCAACAGCCCTGGCAGGCAAGCCTGCCTAGAAACCAGTGCTCTTTTGGCACCCAATAAATTATTGTTGGTATCGTTACTATTAACAACACCAAAAACACCCTGATTTCTAATCCTACTTCTGGCATGAACACTCGGCACTCTTCTTCAAGTAGCTTATTTTTTTTTCTCCTCTATTTCTACACTATTTAGAGATAAATAATGAAGCCTATTTCCTGGTCATGACATGAATGGGCTAACACATTAACATATTTCCTAGTGAAAATATAAGTAAATATGAGAATTCAATTAGAAAACTCAATTTAATTCTTAAATAAATCAGACATATCTTAGTTATTTTATCCAATTCAATTACAAAACAGAAATTGTTGTTTTTTATATTTTCCTTTTTTTCAGCACTGGGGATTGAACCTAGGGCCTTGTACTGCTAAGCATGAGCTCTTCCATTCAGCTTCATCACTCGCCCTGGAAATTGTTTTATATTTAATTTACTTGGCTATTATTTTCATTTTTACACCTGTGAGAATGCAATGGTAGGGTCTCAAAAAGTATGTTTGAAATGAAAGTGTGTGTGTGTGTGTGTGTGTGTGTGTGTGTAGTAGTAGTAGTAGTAGTAGTAGTAGAATATGTACGTGGGTGTAGTTGAGCATTTCTCATGAATTTCTGACAAAATAAGAAAAAAATATATTAACCTTGTATCTTGGGTTTGGAAGAACATACACCTTGGTGTTCTTCTATGTGTCAATGTTTACTCTTTGAAAAATGGGGGAAAAGAAAGGAAATTAAAGTTTCTTGAGTGTCTACTGTGTCTTAGGCACCAAGAAATATTCAACATATATTACAGAATTATGAGGATTAATGAATTGTAAACTGTTGGGTTTATCACAATTACAAGATAATATATTATGAATATGATATAATGTTCAATTGAAATTAAAATATATTTCAAGGGATCCCAAGAAAGATGCTGCATTTTTTTAAACAAAACACAGCATCATTAGCAAAGAAACCATTGCGTATCACCATCGGAAAAAAAAAAACGGATGTAGATGGAAGGATTTATCCATTTACTCCAAGCCAAGTGGCCAGTCCATGGCCATGAATTAAAAGAATTTATCACCCCTGTCTGATGCAGGGTCTTCTGTAGTGCATCATGCTGTTTTTTTTTTTTTTTCTGGAAAATTAGAAGACAGATCCAATTAATATCAAACTAGACTGTCTTTTGAGATAACATTTAGTAAAAGATTCTTTCCTCTTCTAGAACTCAATTCTCATTGTTACATTCTTTTTTTTTTTTTTTTTTTTTGTTTTTTAAAAAAATCCTTTTTTCTCCATTTTGAGAATGACTAATTATGTCTCAAATGGCTAATTTTATCTCACATTAAGGTTCTCAGAAAATGAACGTCAAGATAGTTATCAATCCAGCATTTCATAGAGATTACAGTTTTAATCACTTTTCTTCAGAGTTTCCCCAATAATCTGAAAGAAATTTACGTTTAGAATGGGATCATTCCAATAGAATTATGGAAAGATGTTCACATCAGTACTTGGCCTTCTCCTAAGGATAATTAGTATTTAATACTATTGATCAGTGTGCACCTAGAAAAGTAAAATAAGAATGTTAAGGCCTGGGAATACAGCTCAGTGGTAGAAAGCATTCTTGGCTTGTAAAGACCCTGCATTTCATCCCAAGACACTGACCCTGGAATATAAACCATGCTGAATATGACTTTCATCTTAGATAATGCTCCTGGAATTTAGGGAAAGCAAAATATCAGACTTAGGCCTTACCTTCAGGTACCTTACTTACTCCATGACTATATTCATTTATCAAGCATAAAAAAATACTACCATTTTATACCTTTATGTCCAATTTCTCATACTTAGCATACCAAACTTCCTTTATGTTATTATTCTACTAGTATTAAACACTTCAAAGTTCTCTAAAATCTACAATCTTTATTTAGTGTCACTTTATTGATAGAATCCCCTCTGTATTACAGAAAGGGTAGAAAGAAAAGCTCAAAAAGGGGTGATTTCTTCTTGCTTAGTGTTTGCTTTAAAAAAACCAACCTTAGTATAAAAGCAGCAGTATAAAAATAATAACCTTAGCTTTTCCTTGGGTTAAATAATGACCTAGATTAGGGGGGAGTCTTAACTTTTCATTTTACTTTTGAAGTTCAGATTTAGAAATTTAGAAAAAAATGAGTAAGCAAGAGAGAACAACTGGCTTCAAAATGTTCCTGCCTCCTGCCACCTACACTATTCATTCATTCTAATGACTCAATAAACACATCAATTTTCTCACTATTAATTTTGAAACATGACATTAGTAAAAGATATAAATCTCTACTGGGTAAAGTAATTGTTATTTATGAAGCAATCACTGAAAGAGTAAAATTTTCCACTGCAA